TGAAAGTTGAGACTTCTCCAAGTTGCTGTGCTTGGGCCACAAAGTGACCCGATCCCATGACTGGCTTGGCTGAGTGTGCAGAGTCCTCTGGGCTTGCTTGCTCTGCAGGTTCTGTCGCTGAAGCCACAGAATTGACAGGGGGCTGAAACCGCTTGTAAACTATTGGCAGCAGCTGATGAAACATCTGCCGTCAACTGGTTGTAGTGGGAAGACCCTGTTTCAGTGCTATTCTCAAGTTGCTGCTAGTTTCCAATAGAGGAACCAGCTCCTTGTATGTTTCATCCCAGAAGTCTTCTGAAAGTCCTGGGAATTTAAGGTTGAGATTTTCTAGCAGCAACTCCACCACATTTTGTATGTCTGAGCACCTGTTCTCTGAATGCTCTTGGGGGGAAGTGTTGCTGGATATCTCTGGCATGGGGGGGGCTCCCGGGATGGGATCCAATTCCATTGGTTCCTCCCCGAAGGCATCCCTCAACGGGTCCCAGTCCATCGGGATTAGGCCTGAATTACTACTTGAAAAATCCAGAGATTTATCTTTTTCTTTTTCTTTTTCTGCACTTTTTTCAATTCTGACCTAGGCTACCAGACGGGCCGCCCGGCTCACCCTACTTTTTTGGGCGGCCCAGCCGGGCAAGGACCAGAGAAGGTCCCAGCAAAAAAAAAAAAAAAAAAATCTAAAAAATCTGAAAAAGAACTCTGTTCTGCAGAAAAATAAATTGAACAACTTTTGCCTCATGTCACATCGAAATTCTTTACCAAATTTAAAATATAAAATTAAATTAAAAATATATATATATATATTTTTTTATTTTTAAATGTTTTTGGCCCGGCCGGGCAAGTGGTCCCGGGCCACTCTGGTAGCCTAGATTCTGACATATTTGTTTGTTGTGAAGTGATTGTTTGGTTGCTTTTTGTGCCTGCAGTTCCTTCGCCGTTTGTAGATGACTCCTCTTGCCCTCTAGGTTCTACCTCCGTGTCCAATGGGCTGAATCTGTTACTCGTGGGGATGTAGGAGCCAGCTTGAGGTCCTCTGTGGCCTCCATTCTGCTTTGGTCTGGTGAGTTCGTTTACCTTTTGCTCTTTGCTTTTCTTTCGTAATGCTGTCCCCTCCTCCTCCTCCTCCTCCTCCTCCTCCTTGGTCCCTTGTGGGGGTTGCTGTTTTGGTCTTTGGAGGCTGTGTGACCCGATTGCTGCGTGCAGGAGGTTTGCCTGGAGGTTTCCTTTCCACTGGCGGCCTTTGCAAGCGTTTACAGTCTCCTTCCTTCCCAATACCATCCCCCTTGTTGACCTCCCAAATCCCGATGACAACTCATCCACATACACTCATCCCTCATAACCTGGTAAGATCAGTATCCATCTGTCGGGGCAATGGCCATCTTTTTTCAGGAATCCATTGTATCCCGCAGCATCTTCTGGATGCTGTGGACAAGCGATTTCTGCGCTGAGATGACCATAAGCCCTACACTTATAGCACCATGGTCTAAACTTGTGTGCTGTGTGAATCTGATACAGATGTCCTCCCAATTTAAACGGAACGATGTCATCTAGCAAAAAGGGCTGGTCTTTTGGGAGGTGCAGGGCAAGCAGTAGGTAGTCGTCTCTTTTGGCCTTGTGCGTTGGGAGTGGATCAATGAAGTCCACTATCTTGTACTGCTGACCAAAGTCATGGATAAAGGCTGGCTGAACTTCGATGGGAATGTGTCTGAGCTCCACCCAGTAATAATCTCTCATCAACTGATCTCTTCTTTCTTCTAGCCCTATCTTCTTCGGCTGCCATGGGGAGATGCGTACATCTGATCCTTCCCATCTAATAAGTTTCTTGCATCCATCCATCTTGACTTTATCTTGTTCAAAGAGACAGAGTGCCGTTCTGGGCGCCACGGGGAAATCGAGGACAATAACGGAATACGACGTAAAGTTCGGGTATGACCTCAGACTACAGACGAGGGACCCGAATCCAAGGCTGACGGAGAAATGGGGAACTGCACTAAACCTAGACGCCACCATCCCCATCACCATCCCATGGACCAAATACCTTCTCATCAGACCAATCAGAATCTGCAGTATGCAATGTCTAATAGCACATGCAGCCCTTCCCGTCAACCAATGGCTGCACGTAAGGAGGAAACATTCCGACCCTGAAAGCTCGGAAGGCTGCTCAATGTGCAGAAACAGCTCCCCTGAAGACATCCCCCACTGCCTCCTCTTCTGCCCAGAAGCGGCATGGATATGGAAGACGGTTTGAGAGTTGTGGTTGATCCTATTTGCCTTGCCCCCCCCCTAACATCCCGGCCCTCTCCATTCTACTCCTAACTAACATCCCCAGCAACATCACGGGAGGTAAGGAAGTATGGTTCACCCTGCTCAGGAAGCTGGCACTGTGGGTGATATGGAAACGCACGTGCACCCAAACAATCGAGGGAGCAGAGGTGGCATGGCAAGAAATGTGGTCATTACTGCTGAGCATGGAAGAGATGGAAATTAGGAGCAGATGGCGGAGAATAGTGAACTCAACGAGACTCAGACCAGAAGGACAAACAACCAAGAAGCAGTCTTTCACGAGGAGCTGGCTGCTAAGGGGCAAGGTGGCGACGATAGTTGACAACAGGTTGAGATGGAAGAATTGGCACCAGACACAGTCAAGACGAGTATAAGGTTTCCTGCCGGGCAAACCGGCAGAAGGGTCCGAATGGTGATCAACAACAAGGCGAACCGGACACACAGTGAAGAACAAGGACAAGCAACAGAACACGGAGCAGACCCCCCCACTTCTCTCGTATTTCTAGGACTCATTTGACAGGCTCCGATTAGAAGCCTAAGAGGAACAAGTGGGCTGGGCAAGCTGACAGTCAATCCTCCTTAGAAGGAGTAATCAATGCTGGTCAGGGTTCCTTCGACCAAACGGAAGGAAGCGTTGAGTGGGTAACACGATGTACTTTTTCTGACTTGTCGGGGGAATAGAAACCGGATGGAGCTGTTAAAAAAAAAAAAAGGAAAAAAAAAAAGAGAGAGAGTACCGTGAAAACAGTGCGCGTGAGAGTTTGTATTAGAGGAAAATCTTGTACCGCCTCTGGACGATCTTTCATTGCTTGCAGCCTTTTGCAGATCCACTTTATCTTACCATTTACTGAGCGATGTGCACTGTCCTCATAAAAAATTCAGCTGCTGGCATGCTTGGTGTAGATTGTGGCCCTCTGTGCCAGCTTATGCGCTGGATACAATTTCATCAACATTTTTCTTCCCCCTTGGTCAACTACTTTTTGTTTAGAGGGCAAGAGGAACGGCGTGAGGAAATAGGCTCGCAGATGATCCTACCCCTTAAGGCGTATCAGCCGCGGGGGCTGGCCGATGGCGAGCTGCGCGCCGTGCCAAGGGGTCGAAAATGCACAACAGTGGTAGGATGAACCGGATCGGCGGGCAGGGAGCGGCCGCAKGTGCATTTTAACGAATTGTTACACTTTGAGAATAAATCTGGTGAGGCCGCCCACGCAGGCGGTGGGGCAAGGACCATAGATGAACGGCAATATCTTGCAAGGGGAGTCGTTCGATAGTTGAATTGTCGTTTTGCCGTTTTTTTTGGTTTTTGTTTTTCTTTGTCAGGTACGCGGCACTACTTTTGGGCGTAGCCACACCACTCTGGAAATGTGCAAAAGACAAAACTGCGGTGGCCCTGGTGGGTGCATCTGGCAATGCTCTAGCGGGAAGTTCATTCTCATTTCGCACATTTCGAGAGTGGTGTGGGCCCGTGTGGCCATGCCCTTTGTCATTTCGTTTTACGCCTTTTTTTTTTCCCTTTTTATTCTGGGCAAGGGTCGTCCTGTCGGTTTTCATGGTTCCGTTGTCGGGTGCGCAGCAATCTGGCAATGGTTTGGTGGTTCCTCTCTCTCTCTCTCTCTCTCTCTCTCTCTATGCGTTGTCGGGTGTGTAGCCACACCACTCTCAAAATGTGCAAAAGACAAAACTGTGGTGGGTGCATCTGGCTATGTTCTAGCGGGAAGTTCATTCTCATTTCGCACATTTCGAGAGTGGTGTGGCCATGCCCTTTGTAGTTTCGTTTTACGTTTTTTTTTTGCCCTTTTTTTTCTGGGCAAGGGTCGTCCTGTCGGTTTGCATGGTTTCGTTGCGCAGCA